AATCCCAGCTCCACCTCCTTGCCCACTGTTCGCCGACATCATTAACCTCTCACTGTCATCTGGCACTATTCCTTCCCTCCTCAAAACTGCCACTATCACCCCCACCTTGAAGAAACCTTCCCTTGACCCATCATAGTTATCTAGCTACTGACCCATCGCAAATCTCCCCTTCCTATCCAAGGTCCTTGAGAGAACTGTTGCCTCCCAGCTTTGCTCTTTCCTCTCGTCTCACTCCCTCCATGATCCCCTCCAATCGGGTTTCCGTGCTGCCCACAGCACGGCAACTGCTCTCGTCAAGGTCACAAACGACATCCTGATTGTGTGTGACCAGGCCTCCCTCTGCCTCTTCGTCCTCTCTGTCACTTTTGATAGCGTGCACCACTCAATCCTCCTCCACCGCCTCTCCTCCCACCTTAACCTTCAAGGTTCTGTCCTTGACTGGTTCAGGTCCTACCTTTCACACCGCCTCCACTTTGTCGCAGCAAACGGCTTCTCCTCCAGCCCCCGCACTATCTCGTGCGGTGTTCCTCAGGACTCTGTGCTCGGGCCCCTCCTCTTCACCCTCTACATGCTCCCCCTTGGTGACGTCATCTGCAGACATAGGGTAAATTTCCACATGTATGTGGATGACACCCAACTCTACCTCTGTGCTTCCACCTTGAACTCCAGGACTACTGGTGTCCTGACCAACTGCCTGTCCGACATCAAGTTCTGGACAAGGGACAACTTTCCCCAACTCAACGTCAGCAAGACCGAGGCCCTCCTGATTGGCTCGTGCCAGCACCTCCGCACTTTGGGCCCTGGCAGCATCAGCCTCCACAGCTGCACGCTTAACCTCACTAAGCCAGTCAGGAACCTGGGTATCTTGTTTGACCCTGAACTGTCCTTTCTCCCCCACATCCACACCATAACCGGCACTGCCTACTACTACCTCCGCAATATTTCCAGACTCTGCCACTGCCTCACCCCTCAAACTGCCGAAACCCTCACCCATGCATTCGTCACCTCAAGGCTTGATTATGGGAACTCCCTCCTCATCGGCCTTCCCAACTCTTCCCTTCACAAGCTGCAGATCATCCAAAACTCTGCAGCTTATGTACTTTCACGCACCAGGCTCTGTGACCCCATCACCCCCGCCCTTGCCCGACTCCACTGGCTCCCCATCCCCCAGAGGATCGAATTCAAGATCCTCGTCCTCACTCCATGGCCTTGCCCCCTCCTACCTCTCTGACCTGCTGACTCCCTACCAACCTACCCGTTCATCGGGCTCCGGGCTGCTCCATGTCTCCCGCTCCACCCGCCCTACCATCGGTGGCCGGGCTTTCAGCCTCTCTGCCCCCACGCTCTGGAACTCCATCCCACTGTCCCTTCGCATCACTTCCTCCCTTGCCTCCTTCAAGGCCTGTCTCAAGACCCTTCTCTTCAACCATGTCTTTGGTCTCCCTCCCACCTCTCTGCCTTCCCTCACCCCTACACCACCCCTCCCATGCTCGGGCCCCGACACCTGACTGTTCAGCGCTTTGGGATGTCCTCCCAGCGTGAAAGGCGCTCTATAAATGTAATTTTGTTGTTGTTGTTTGAAATAGCTAAAAGTCACAGATAGTGACAAATAACAAATCAGAGTAAATGCCGAGAGCTGCAATGTGCCTAAATACAAAATAACAAAAGTGCAAATTTTAAAATTCATTTTGATATTTATATACTTAGTAGAATTTTCACTTGAAGCATAAATAAATATTACAAGAATACTATTCCCTGCAAGTATTCAAGTCTCTATATCAACAAGAATACTCTATCATTTGCAAGATACAAGAGAAAATCATGCTTTTATTCACTGGAAGACATTACAGGTTGCAGCGCTTAATTGGTTTTTCTCAATTGGCTAATTTGTATTCTGGTCACAAAAGTTCATGTGAGATTTTGCAGATGCATTATCTCCATTATATTCCCGAAGGAACAGTTAAAGTTTCCATTTTTAGCTTTGCAATTTATTATTAAGTATGCTTATACAATATAGAATAATAGAGTACGTGTCCTAATGTGGCAATAGTTTCTATGTTATGTGTGGTAACAGAGAACAACAACTAAAAGGGCAGTATTCTTAGAAGAATAGCAAAATCCAAATTTTAAAAAGGGGTGGAATATTCAATGGTACAGCAAAAAACAGGTATGAAGAAGCAATTTTTAACAGAGAAATTGCTTTGGTTGATTTCTTGCAACACCAACAAATTACATTTATATAGCACCTTCCACATCAGGAGGACGTCCCAAGGCGCCGAACAGTCAGGGATCCGCACCCAAGCTGATGGTTGGGATCAGGAGGTGTGGAGGGCAGGGGTAAGAGAGTGACTGAAGGCACCATCAAAGAAGCGGGTTGCATTCATTCATCACAATAACAATACAGTGGAAGCCAGTTAAGCCGGACAAATTGCTATTGCTTGGTTAGAGGTTACCTGAAGTTTTTCCCACCCAGCAGAGGCCACAGCAGGGCTTCCTCCCTCACATTGCCATTCCCATTGGAAGGGAACAGGACCGATTACTGGCAGCTTAGTGGTCATTGTCAGTCTGCAGCCCCTTATGAATCGATAGCCACCCCACATACCCCAAGTGCCTTCAGCTGTCAATCAATCATGATTTCACTCCTTCCATTCCTGTTCCTCCACCTCCTCACTGATTGACAGCCCGACTCCAGACACTTGTGAATGGATTTTAATAATTTAAATAATTTTTAAAAATATTTGGACCAAATTATTAATAATACTTTCAATTCTGGAATACAAATTGTATTGTGGGGGGGTCATAAATTTGACATGATAAATATTGAATGAATCACTAAATTGACCCTATCATATCTTTATGTTTGGTTTAAATTAACCAATACTTTTGAACCTGTTGAACAGCTGATTTAGCCTCCATATAGCATCAGCAATCTCTCTATGAGTCAAAACAACTGCATAAGAAGCTTAATGACGCATTGAATTAACTTCTAAAATGCTAAAGTAATTTTTATTTTAGCGGGATTGCCAGACACCGATAAATACAATTTTCTATATTAATCAAAGTAGCTACTGTCACCTTCAAAACAATAAATTAAATCTATCAACATTAATCTCACTAAAGGACCATTAACACTCATTACAGCCTGCAAAAAATATTAAGTGTAAGGTAACTTGGATGAGTTAAATATGACATAATTTATTGAGAGAGTACTTCAAAGCAGCCAATATGGAAATTATTGGTTCCCAATAGGTTTGATCTGAAAAGCATATCATATTGCTTTTTTACACATTTGATTTTAACTTCAAAACACATGTGCAAAAGTAAACAATGAAATAAATATTACGATGTGTGGCTATAGATACGTGGTTTCCATGCAGACTGGATAATTGCATGAATGATGCAATGATTCTGATTTCTGAGAATTTATTTGTAACAATTTTTTTGTAGCCTTAGTAAATGATCAGAGGCAAAGATAATTATGTTATTATTTGAAGCTAATAAATAAATAAAGTACTTTCCACTTTGAGGATTTAACGTTCACCTGACCTTAAAGAAGAAAATAAATAGAAAGTGTTTTGTTGAAATCTTTTCTGCAAATGGATGACAATTTCATGCAGATTGTTTACAGTTTGTGTCAGGGTGGGTTTTAACACTTCAATATTCCCGAAATGTGTCTGTTACTAAAACTTAGGTTGTTTGCCTATCCTGGGAGTAAATGCTATGAATAAATCAATCACAATATTATTATTATTATTATTGTTAATGTAAATCTCTAAAATCTGATCAACTTACATATCTGTTGCTTTTTAATTGTGCAGATCGCTATTACATTTTTAAAGTAAAACAATTTACAGTGCAATGTAATAGCATGTCAGTGTTTAACTGCAGTGTGATAGTGTATTCCTCAGGCTGTTGGACTTCTGAAATAAGCTGTGGAAAGGTGCCAAATTAGGCGCAAATTGTACTGTTCCTGCTGTCTCTCACCCCTCCTGCTGCTTCTCACCAGTATTGCTGGAGGATTGAAAGCATGTCAATCTCACTTTCTCCCTGCAGGTGGTGAATGGCCTCGGAGATGACTAATAGTACAGCAATGGTGAACTAGAAGAAAAAACGCATTCTATACTTAGCTCCTTTTTGCCTTTTTGGGTCGTGGTCCCAAAAGGTTGACTCGCTTGCCTTTCTCCATAGATGCTGCCTGACCTGCTGAGTGTTCCCAACAACTTCTGTTTTTGTTTCAGATTTCCAGCATCTGCAGTATTTTGCGTTTTGTTACTTATGTCCTCTATGAAACGTTGTTATGTTGGTTTGCTCTTGAGGAACCCATTGCCCAAGTTTTAACAACTATGCCTGCAGTAATTTTCTATTGGATCTCCTTGTCTTGCACACTTTAATAGTCTCTTGATAAAGTGCATATTGCGACACAGCCTCACAGCTTTTAGATTAAAGTAACTACTAATTTGATTTACAAGTACCCCGAGAAACATAATTGTAGACAAAGTGCTACAGAGAGCAATATTTACATAGGGCTAGACAATCAGTACTTGAGGAGTTAACCTTTGAGTAAAGATTTCTTTCTGGTTGGGTTATAAGAGGATTTGTTTTGAGTCTTTGTCCCTCAACTTTTCATCTTTGGCTTCGTAATTCATAATTTTATGAAATTCACTGACCTCCAGTGCACTTTAATAACAATATTAAAGCCTTCATCCTTTAATGTTAACAAAAGAATTAATTCACTCATAAAGGGCTTCAAGTCTTTCATTCCTTTGGTCAGCTTTTCAGATAAATGTAAAATAAGGAATAATTGATAGAGTGATAGGAAGTAGAAGCAGGACTGACTGATAAAAATATTTTAACCATTTGTTTATCAACCATAAACTATATTAGGTTATACAACATGATACGCCTTTCATATTGCTACAAGATATTTAATATCCCAATCCACACACTTCTAATTTACAGAAGTTTCAAAACATTCAAACAAATTCAAACAAAACATCTTGGGTTTTTTTCAGTTCTGTGCTGATTAATGTTTATTGTTGCACAATGGATTCACAGCAATTTCTGAAGCTGCATCATCTATACTAATAAAGATGAAATATCTATGTATCTGTCCGCCAAATACGCAATAACTGATTGACATAGAAAAATGATTTATACCTCATCGGAAAGGTCTTGAATGGAGAAGTGTCAGGGGCATATTCTTTCTCCTATCATCGATGGCCTATGACCTAAACAAGCGCATGACGCCTGTATAGCAGTCTTGCTTAAGGTGTGCACATCAGGTTTATGGCATGTAAAATGGTTTTTGAGTGGTATCCCTGAAAATGCCAGCTCTAAAAACGAGCATGGCAGCCTTGCAATAACTCGAGGACCTGCCCGATCACACCGTACACCCCTTCGGTTGGCATAGCTTTGATATGATCTTCTGTCATTGATGAGCTGTGACCCAAACAAGCTCATTGCACAGTGTTTATGACAGGTTAAATGGTTTGTGAGTGGTATCGCTGAAATCTAGATTCCCTATTAGATCCTTTGGTTGCAAGCGTAGCTGCAATGGGTACCTCTAGTTCATCAATAAAAACAATGGTTTAGAAAATTTAACAAATGTATTCAAAATCTGGAGTTGAGTTGCAAATTGCAACTTCCAGGTTTCAAAGATTGATTGTGAAACCTGCAATGAGATTTGTAAAACAGTAAACCACAAGCCAGGAAAGTCCAAAACAATAGTGTTGCTCACAATCTTTGTTTTGGGCTTTGTTGACTTGGGATTTGGAATGCACAGTTATATGGTTTTCACAATTGATAGCTGCAACTTGGAAGTCAGAAATAACAGTCTAAGACCTATAAAGTCATGAGAGAATGAGTCTAGTACAATTTGCAACCATTATACTGAGTTGGTGTAAATACCACTGCTTTTGAAATCACATCTTCCAAATAGTAACTGGAACAAGCCTGCAGTGCAATATGAACTGTCTCAGTTCCCCCATTTATACAACCTTGACTGCGGTTGCCAGATTTTAATCTTACTGTTCTTTTAATCCTTATGAAACCTATAATATTACAATAATTTGACACATTTGTCAAGTAGCTTTTGTATTCTCTTAATTTTGTCTGAAGAGGCCCAAAAATATATCCACATCCTGCAATCTGTATTCTATTTTGAACATTTGTAGCATTGATGAAATAGCGATTTGTCAGCCTAATATTGATAGAAATTTAGATTGAGGCTCTACAACGTCCCGCAAAATGTAGTACAATGATAATTCCGGCCACAGCTGCTTGACTGTTAAATAAATCTTCCATTAGTAGATGTCCCCTCATTATTGAATTGCATGATAATTAGGCAGTCCCATGTTTTCCAACTACTTTTTTCACTGATGCACAAATGATTGACATTTCCATTTTCTGGAAGTACAAGTGAAGTACTCCAGGTTGCTTTAATTTCCAGATTGCAATTTGGAATCATTTATTTCCAGACAGATAGTTGTACTATTCTGACAGATGACTATCTCTACTAGAGGATAGATCTCTACCAGTGTATCAGTTCCTGGGCTAGACCCCTTCTCTTCTAATTTATTAATGCAGCTACACTTTACTGTTCAGAATTATGAAACAATCCACTTAGAAGAGTTGTAAACTATTTTACAAAACATACTAGGCCTAGAAATATTGCAACATGAATTTTCCAACATGTGCTTCATCCACACTATTTTGATATATAAAAGAACACAAGATAAACTTTTCCTTCTCTATAAACACTTTTCCTCCTCAGTGGTGTATTGACTGAACACCATGTCTGAGAAGAAAATAAAACATTCAAACATTTCTAAAAATGATCCATTCAGCAGTTTTAATCAACAACCTAATCCACAATCAGAATGAATATATAGTAAAGTTAAAATACTCATGCCAAATAGAGCATAAAATAGCTATTGGAGACTGAACTTTAAAAATCTACGCTTTCTTTTTTGTTGTATTTTTAAGTGGTGACTTTCCAATATAACTTCCACCACTTATAAACAATTCAGTGCACGTAAACTGCCGGACTCTTACATTTTTCAAATCTGTTTATATTTGGTGAATGTGTATCAAGGTAAATGTTTCAATATCCACTGGATCTGTGAAAGAGGGAAATATTTCCTGGATGCAAGGCTACCTATTTGTAGAATTTTTATGTGTACTTTCTCATAAATCTAAGTTTCATGTACGTAATGGTGAGAAAGATTATGGTCATGCATAAAAGGGCAACTATGTTCTCCCACATGGCCCAGTCATCAATTCCAATTCCTTGACTGCACAAGTATTCTTCACCATAACATCTGAAACAAAAGATATAGTAAATTAGAAACTACCTTGCAGAAGCACTCTAAAAGCAGACAAAATTATTCCATTCAAATGATGAACAACTGTAATGTACATTAGCTCAATATGATCTAAATAAAATCAATACTTGAAACAGCCAGTTGCATCCTGTAGAAGTCGTTAAATTGATCAACCTTCTTTTCATTACATCTTTTGCCTGAGAGGCAATATAAAGCTATATCCATAGCAGTTTCAGTACTAGTTGGTAATAATCTAATTTCATTGTATGCCAAAATAAATTGTTACAGTGCATAAACTGACCATTCAGACCTTCACATCTTTGTAGATGCTTTCCTCCGTATGAACCATCTTGTCTAATTCAGTTGAGACAGTTAGCATATGTGCATCAGATTTTTGCATTAATTTTGGATTTACGGATTAGAACACCATTTCGTGTGAACTTTGTAGAATAGCATGTGTGGGGCTGAAGCAAATTTTCAAAGTGTAGAAGCTATTTTGATTTATGAGCTACAATTAAGTAGATTTAAAAAATGCCAAATCTTATCTTTTTGACTTTATTTTTAAAGATTTAGATTAGACAGAGTCTGAAGAGATAAACTAACATAATTAGTAGGCTAGGGAATATCATGGCTGTGCTTTGTTCTATTGGCCTTGGTTATATTAGATGTAGCTACCACAAGTCAGGACAATCGAGGAATGTGAACAACAAAATAAACCTGAGACAGTTATGTGGTATCTGTACCTTATGTTGTTAAAGGGTCTTCTGTAGCAGAATTAAGATTACTCTAAAATTTAAATTTTGAGGCACACAACTGTTTGAAACTTACACTCCTCCAAACTTTGATGAGCTTGAACAATTAGCCAGCGCATCTGGTAACGAGGTAGAAATATTTTGTCCATCGCAGAAGTACAGTCCCCTGAACTCATTCACCTGCAGAGCCTTTTTAAAAAGATTAAATTCTATTTAAATTTTACTCCTTTTATGCATAACTTCTTATTACTAAAAACCCAAGGTTAATGTTTATTAAATATATTTAAATTGCTGTTGAAAGATAATATTCAGCTCAGATCAGCAACTGGAGCTCCAATTACTGGATGCACAAATTACATCCCATTAAACCCTCCCGACTTAACTGTATGCTTAGTAACATAGGAAAACATTGGATGGGGAGGAGAATATTCATCGCATTGAGCATGTTCCACCTAATTATTACATCAGTTCTTTTAATCCCAATGCTCCATCCTCTCACCATATTTAATACTTTAAATACTTCTAATATCCAGATAACTGTCTTTTTTTAAAAAAAACTTCCCTATTGATTCCATCTCTATATCTTTCTTGGGCATATATGTTCACAACCTGGGTGTGAAGAAACACTAACTGTCTTGGTTCTCAATATAAAGCTATGCCCATTGTAATGGACCCCCACATCTCTCTGCTTGTCCACCCCTCCTAGTATTTCCCCATTTAGAACACACGCCACTCTTCTTCCTTCTGAAATGCACTACCTCACACTTTGCAGTGTTCAGTTCCATTTTCTATATTTCAGTCCACTTACTTAATCTTCTGATATAAGATTTAAAGTTGCAGACCTATAATATTTAACAATTGTTTTAACCAACATTGTAGATTTAAAAAAACTATTCTGATATTGTTATTTTAACAATACAATGATGAATATTTACTGTAAAACCATATCTGGAGATACTGAAGTACTTGAGCCAGCTCAGCCAGCCCACAACACTTGGCAGGTTCACAAGGAGGCCAGAAAATATCTGTAAATGAAACAATTGTATATGATTATTAACATTCATCCTGAAGAAAGTTTTCTGAACCTTATGACAAAAGAGGGTCAGGAGCGCTTCTTTGTGTTTTTTTAGTGGAAATCCATCCAGTGAAAACCCGTGCTTAAGAGTATCCTAATCAGAACGAGCATTCCACATGTGTACGCTATCTACATATGGAAATTTCCCTGTGTCTGTAATGGAATGAACACTCTCTCCCTGGAGGGATGCTCGCTGGTTAATTTACTTCCAGAGAGTGTTGAGCACAGATTGACTTGTGTTAATAATAATTGCATTTGATTAGCATCTTATCACGTCTTTGAGATGTCTCAAAGCGCTTCACACAATATACTGTAAAGTGGATTGACTGTTTATTTTGTGGGTGAAACATGGCAACCAAATGCACACAGCAGTGTCTCACAAACAGTCGTGGATTCAGTGACTAAATGATTATTATTTGGGGGTGGGGGGGATTTTTTTTTGGAGGGATTAGTATTAAAGCAAATAAAAAAGATTCCTACCAGAAACCTCGTAACCAGTACTTACAATCATAAAAACAAAACATATGGTGCATATTAGGTTTGCAATAGAAACCAAATCCATCCCAGCACTGATAGCTAAAGACATAGAAGTGGCTGCATACGACACCGTTATTAGGCAAAGCATGAAAAAGAAGAAATTTCCGACAACCGGCTTGTAACCTGAAAACAAGAAATGTGTTTCCATATTACTCTTAAGGTGGCAACGCAATTATTTTCACTTCTTTCATATTTCATTTATATCAGTTGGCGTATTATAGATTACAAATTTTAATTTCTTTAGATTATATACAAAATACCTATGGTGTAATTTTACCTGTCTCTGCCCATTAGTAATTTTTCTACTTCCGTAGATGAATTAGAAAAATGTCTTTAACAGAAGAAATATTCATTTTTCATGCTAACACCTACAGTCCAAAATTTCTGACCTGCAGCAGACTCTTTGCTCAGTGGGTAAGAAGTGCTCTATGCACAACAGGGGTACCTACAAATATGTGGCATTTATTATAAATATTTATTTTAAAAGAACAAAAAACATCATTAATACTTACCGATCAACCAATAGGTTATACAGGAAAATAAAATGCCAGGCAGTGTTCTCATTGGCAACAGATCTCCTATTAACAGTGCAAGGAAGTATGCTGATATCCTGTAATATCCACTGGTGTATTCATGGCTAGTAACAGGAAATACTTTTAATACAGAGCATTCTGTTTGTGTAATAAAACAGCTAAGTAACCTTTTGATGTTTTTTGCAGTTGAAGTATTTATTGAAAAATAAGACCAAAAGCTGCACCGTCTTAACATGACAATTTTAGCCTAGTATTTTAAGGTTGGTGCTGATTGTGTGGAGTCACTTCCAAATCATTCTGCTTTACCTATGATATATGCAACATTGAAACATTATTAACAGTTCAGTATTATATATAATAGAAGCATAGAAGCATATAATAAAAATGCAATATGCAAGGAGCAAACTAAATTAGATTGTGCTGAAGAACATCTACTCTCAGACCATTTAACAGGCAAATAATACATACTCTAATTTGCAGTTCGATAAATTGTAGTGGCATACTTACACAAATAGTTTTTTGTTTCTGATGAACAGTTCAACGGCAGACACACTGGTAAAGCACTGGTTGGTGGTTAGAAAAAAGAGAGCTCCTATCCTAAGATACAAGAAGCACAGCAATGAGCCAGCATCACCTACGGATAAATGTCAAAAAATAATGACACAAAGACCTCATTTTGTATTTCCTTCAAATAATAATAATTTCTAGAGCTTGTACCGGTTTTGAATTCCACTGGGATCAAGGGTTACTCCAAAAAAGATTGCACCAACAATCAGACCCAAGACAGCAATTACAGCTAGCTGCAGAGAGATAATATTAACATATCACTTAAACAAAGTGCTTTGAAACATCTCAACAATGTGATAAGGTGCAATACCAAATGCAAGGATTACCTTATATCAATCTGTCTGCTCCCTCCGCTCAGCAGGCTGTGGCCTGCTCCACGTCCCCCACCCGTCCTGCCCCACCATCGGTGGTCGGGCCTTCAGCCTTTCTGCCCCCACCCTTTGGAACTCCATCGCACATTCCCTTCGCTTCCTCCCTTTCCTTCTTCAAGGCATGTGTCAAGGCCACCCTCCTATCCTCCCTGCCCTCCACCCTCCCCGGTCTTGACCCCCAGCTTAGGTCCAAACCCCTGACCGTCCAGCACCTTGGGACGTCCTCCCGACGTGAAAGGCACTATCCAAATTTAATTTTGTATTTGTATTAATTAGGTGAGAAGATACAGCCACCTACATAGAAAGTGCAGGATTAATGCAAATTGCCTCAGTAACAAGATTAATAAGAATCCAAATCTATTTAATCAGTACTTCAGCAAGTTACAAGACATTCCTCTCACCTGAGCAAAAGATGCTTCGGGGCTTCGGACAAGATTCTTAAATGATCGTCTGCTAACCCAGAGGAGTTGATGGAAGAATGATGTTACATATGTAATTGATTGTCCTTTTTTCTTGTTCGATTTTTTATCATCTCTGCTTGCTTCTATCTTCTTAAGGGTCTCCCCTACATCTTGCCAATGGTTTGATTTTAGATACAGTTCGGACAGTTGTTCGGCCATTGGAGTTACCTGCTCCACATCATCATCAGCTGAATATTTTCTTTCTACAACTAAAAGAATAAAATGTGACTCTTTTAGTTTTTACTAAATGCAATTAACTGTCATAACAACTCGCCAATCTAATTGGTTTTCCTTGATTCAATCGTTTACTAATGTCTTAGGCTGAGAATTTGAGGGTAACAAGAATGCCACCAAGTGAAGGTTCCATCAGCACAGCATTGTTCTTTACACCTTTGTCCTCTTTACTTATTTAAACATTTGTTCTGTCAGCATATGTGCATAGAGTTGACTCATTCCATCTGCAATGATGTATGTGCATGGCAACATCATCATACATTCTAGAGGCCACAACTAACAGGGTCTAGAGAAAAAAGGCTTAGCAAAGGCCAAAAGCAGCTCCTGAATGCCAAAGCAATTTAATTCTCAGGCTATATTGCAATTAACTCTCATTTGGCTAACTCTCATTTTGTTACAAGCAAAATTCCTTGTAAATTTCACGAAGTAATGGGAATGCAGCAGATGAGTGATACCTTATATATGATTATGTTCCCACAAGCCTGATGTGAATGCAATAACACCAAAACTCACTGGTAAGGCTCACAAATGACTAATGGCCAATTGGGTGAGGAACAGAGGACACCTGGTGTACAGTAGAAGGGAAAATTAGTCAAATGTGTTCAGCAGAGGATGTCAGAAATTGGAGGAGAGAAATTGGTGGGAAACATAATTTATAAAGTAAAACAATGCTGATATTTAATCATTCAAAATGCTTAAACTTTGATAATGGTGCAAATTTAGCTTTAATCAAGCAGTAAGACGGGACACTTTTCCAAAGTGTTAATATTATATTGTAATGTTTCTCCATGTAACATTTAGGAAGACCAAAAAAATTGACCATTTATGAATGTTGGATTTATTCTGCCATACATACCTGAACTTTCATGGTTCAAATCACTTGCACATTTTTCATTGGTTGTAACTGCAGTAGAATCTTTATTAATAATGTCCAAGAAAAAATCAGCTGGGTTGTTGAAAGCCTCACATTCGTATCCTAAAACAAAAGTAGCATTGCTTACATTTTACAGTCTAGATTCTAATAGCAAATTTATATGAATTGAATGGTTAAATATTGATTGGTCCGTACACTACACAAATAACTGTGTTAAAAGTTTTCATAATTCTCTTACAAAATGAATTCTTGTTCAAGTATTTAACTCCAGCACAGTTAGTCTAGGTATTGGTACTTCTTTACTCTTACATAGAGGTGTCAAAACTAGATTTGTTATTATTTACAGCAAGAGTGATACATTTAACACTCTTTCAAATTTCACCTTAAAGTGTTTGTAATATTATTGTATGAAAGTTTTAACCGATCAACACAGCCAAAATATGTGTTTGCTCAAAATATAAGGAATTAAAAAATTCTTGAGAAAGTTGATCACTTTATATTCTATTAAGTCCATTAAGAGTAACCATGTGTAACTTGTTTCTTACCAATAGATGAAAAGTATTGGAGTGCTAGTTTGGCTGGTCCATGATAAACCATTCTTCCACTAGCCAGGAGACTCAAGCTGTCAAACAGCTTAAATATGGAGTATCGAGGCTGGTGGATAGAAAATATAATCGTTCTTCCACGTCTTGAAAGTCTGTGATTAGAAACATCAGGATTCAGAAAATCAGACAAAATAGGCTTCAGAAATTAATACAGTTCAAGAAATACTGTATGTCAACTACAAGAAATACATATAATTTGTTCTTGATTGATGTAGAATGAATGCGCTATAGTTTTATTGTAAGAAGACTCATACCTTTTCAGTAGGATTAGAACAGCGTTTGCAGTACTAGAATCCAAGCCTGTTGTGGGTTCATCTAGAAACAACACTGGAGGTTCTGTAATGAGTTCCATGCCTATGTTTGTCCGTTTCCTCTCCCCACCAGATACACCTCGCACCATTTCTGTACCAACCTGAAAGTACAAGGCATGGTTAAATACCATTCTACATGGGATTTAAATACCATTACGTATCTCCTTATTTTACGGTCTAAAATTTTAAACGTTTGTCTTCAATAAGGTTGGCATTTGTTGAGCTCAAAATTAGACAGGGGCAGGATAAGAGTATGGCAGTCTTTAATGCTAATGTTTGCTTTATTCAAGCAAAAAAGAATCACTGATATCTCACATCTTCATATCATAACACACAGGGTGAGAAAAAAGGACTTCAACTAATACTAAATAAAAATAACTGGCTTCTAGTTAATGTAACATAGTTTATGGGGGGTGTGGTGGGGTGGGGGAGTTACAATTAAAAACTTATGCCATTCTGCCACCCCTTTCAAAAATCAAACCTTCTGGTCCAAGCCAGGCAGTGCCAATGCCAGACTTAAACCTACATTTTGCACCTATTCTGCATGCCTGTCATAATAAAGCAGCGGAGCGCCACCCCTTTAAGGGAGAGAACAAGCTATCAAAAGAGGCGAAAACTTAACTATACCTTGCTAGGTAATTCCTAAAGAAGTTAAATACAGCATTTTCCCCTCAGGTAAATATTGAAGATTATTAAAATACTATAAATTGATGTTATTGTTCATTAAAAAAACATGAATAGGTCTAGATAAATTTTGGATAAATGTTTTAGTCTGAAATTGTTACCATATTGTTCTTCAAACCAAAAATCTGCATGAAATCCAAACTTTTTACACCTCATTATACAATTTATATAGTTTACATTTATGTAGCATGTTTTACATCAGGAGGATATCTCAAAGTGCTTTACTTGTTCAACTTTATTTTCACAGACAATTGGCTTGATAATGCCTCAACATTCTTTACTGTCTCTGAAGGTACCTAAGGATGACACTAATCACTTATCCAGTTGTACCTTGGAATTGGCCACTTTGGTCAGTCCAAGCTCAGAGATAACCTGATCCACTCTTTCTTCTTTCTCCTTGAAGCTGATCGAATTTGGCAGTCGCAATGCTGCAGAGAACAACAGATTCTCTTTTACAGTCAATGTTCCCATGACAACATCATCCTGTGAGGGACACAAAGTGAAGAATCCACTTAAAGAACACAATTGACACAATTTCCCAAGAAATCTATACAATAAGTTAGCCTACCGAGAAAAAACAAAATCTGATTCACTATTGCAGTACCAGTGTACTCTATTGCAAATATAGTTTTAAGTAAAAAAANGACTAAAAACACTGACTTGGACAACATAGCCAGAAATGCACTTGAAATTTGATGGCTGATCTCTTCCATCTATTAGGACTTCCCCAGACAACCCAGCGGGATCTTTTCTTGCAGCCAAAATATCCAGTAGCCTGGTGGGTCAAAGGATTACATGTCTTTTTATCAAACAGCAGTAGTCACATTTTCTATCAAAACACTTTTAGTAATTGTGGATAAAATGGGTCTAGATTTATCATGAATATATTTTTGCAGCACATAGTTTGACCAATTATTTATAACAATATATGGATTCAGTGCTTAGTATAATTAGTAATACAAGTGATGGAGATTTTCTGATCGTTCATTTGATAATGTCCCCAGTGTGAAACTGAAAGAATCAGAACTAGAGGGCCAAAAGTAAGATGGACTAAGCCTTGGCAGCAGGAGTATATTACAATTGGTCACAGTGTTCCTGGGCTCCTTAGTGGAAAAGAAACCAAAACCCTTGCTCTTGAACAGTATCTAGTGACCCCTGCTGGAAAGTGCATGAATGTCAGATTTTTAAAACATTTTCACTTTCAGCTGTAAGATGAAAACAGATTTTCTAAAAATTACATTTATTATCCACAGCTGCTAGTTCTAATTCTATGTAACCTGCATAAATATGTCCTATGCAACATAACACACTTTTCATTCTGAAAACAAAAACAGAAGTTGCTGGGTACACTCAGCTGGGAACACTTTCATTCCAATATTCAGCCCGGGGCAGCTACATGCTGTTAGTTGGAAAACACGCTCAAACTAGTCAGAGACATAGTTGGAACACACTACAATTCAAGACAGTTATTATTTGTTAATGCTCTCTTACTGTTACAACTGCAATGCATTCAACAAAATGTGGCTTTAACATTAGCACATGTGTTTGTTAGTCATTGGTTGTGATAAACATATTCAACATTAACTTACGAAGATTTCCCACTGCCTGTGGGTCCAAGAATAGCATTCAAGCCTGGCTTTAAAATCCCACTGAAAAAGAAAACACTTGTTTCAATGAAAGTGATGGTATTCATTTATATCAGCTAACTGTTCTCGATCAGCCTTGGATAAAATACAATGGGTCTAGTTACAATCATTCTGAATGGGATTCTTAAATAAGGAATCCAAATCATGCAAAAGGGGACTCCTTCCAGTAACTGGACTCATCCATTGGAAATCTATTCTGACATAATGTGCTTCCAGAATAGAATTCCCCAGATCAATGGAAAATTATGGAAATATAACATAATATGTAATAGTACAAACATAAATGCTGAAACAATATGATAAAGTAAACAATGGGATTTGCAAATAAATATACCATCCTGTTTCCAAGAGAGCTTCCCTGAGAGCAAGTAAAGTATTTCCTTTCAATAACAACAGTTTGGACTTACGTGGTGTCTTTCACATAGTTAAATATCTCAAAACACTTAACATGGCTTTGAACTGTGGAGGACACATTCGGTATTTTTTTCACCAATAGATTCCTTTGGTTACTATTAGGAATATCATCAGTACATTCCAGGGAGTAAACCTAACATTGTGCCAGAGAGAGTTTGTGATAACGTGCTCAACTACTGTCTACATTAGTCGGGAAGAAGACAAGGTGAAGCTCGAGCAAGGTGAGAGACGGTGGGTGGGGGGTGGGTGAGAAGAGCAAAAAAGGCACAGTCAATGAGCCAGGATTTTTAGAAGGCAATTGAAAGCAGAAGATGGTGTAAGGAGGTGAGATTTAGGGAAGGAGCAGGGAAAACTTGACTGATGAAGTACACACCAATGCAAGGGAAGTGCAGTAGGCCAGATCTGCAACATTTGCAGTAGTCTTTGTTATATCAGTTTCCTGCAGCTGTAGATTAGAAACAAATTTAAGTTGTCTGATAATTTTTACAAAAAAACAGGATGACGGTGCATTGGCACAATATTCTTATCACAACCGTGCACATATGCAAACAGTGGTGGGCTTGCAACAAGTGGACTGATTACCACCTGTCACAAAAGTAATACTTTTTGTTGTCCATCAGTGTAACAAGGGCAAAATATTTTGAAATATCCTGCAGAAGTTAAATGAACAACGTCAGTAAATTCCTTTTCAATCTCATTTATAGAATCGAGCATTAATTTTCTCTTTATTTCCTCTTCCTCCTTCCCAACTAATGTAGTCATGATTCAGCACAATTATACCAAACTCCCTCTGGCAATATATAATATGAAGATCATGCTGGGAGAATGTTAGGTTTAGTCCCTGGAATGTACTGGTGATATTCATAGTAATAACAACAACAACAACAAAATTACATTTGCATAACGCCTTTCACGTCGGGAGGACGTCTCAAGGCACTGGACAGACAGAGTTACAGATCCGATCTGGGGGTCGGGGTGGGGGAGGGTGGAAGACATGGGGGGGAAACAGGGAGATCGAAAGTACAGTCGAAGAGGAGGGTCTTGAGGTGGGTCTTGAAGGTGGCGAGGGTGAGGGTGAGAGAGAGGGACCGCGGCATGGAGTTCCAGAGGGTGGGTGCAGAGTGGTGGAAGGCCCGTCCGCCAATAGTGGGGCGAGCAAGGCGGGGGACGTGAAGCAGCCGGAGCCCGCTGAGTGGAGGGAGCGAACAGGGTGGTAGGGGCTTTGGAGGTCGGAGAGGTAGTGGGGAGCAAGACGGTGGAGGGCTTTGAAGGTGAGGACCAGGATCTTGAACTGTATCCTCTGTGTGATGGGAAGCCAGTAGAGTTGGGCAAGGATGGGGTGATAGGGTCGCGGAGCCTTGTGCGGGAGAGGACACGGGTTAAGGAGTTCTGGATGATCTGCAGCCTGTGGAGGGAGGAGTTGGGGAGGTCGACAAGCAGTGAATTTACATAGTCGAGCCTCGATGTAATGAAGACATGTATGAGGATTTCGGTGGCCTGTGGTGCGGACAGTGTTAACCACTAACCTATTAACCATTAATAGGAATTTATTGGTGAAATATTAACAAATGTGTCCTCCACAATCAAAAGTCATTACCGGTGATTTTTTTTCCCATCAGTCATATAAATATCCGCCCAGGTCAACAAAACAATCTAATCTCTTCCCACACCAACACCCAGCCCCCCCCACCCCACACCCAAACACACACACGCACTCCTTGTGTTTTCTAATCCCGTGCATCTGTTCTACCCATCATGTACTTTTCTCCTTTATGTAACTGCTCATTCTGCACTGGTGGATGTTAAAAGATCAAATGACACTCCAATACTTTGAAGTGTCTTGGCGGATATTCCAATTGTATCTAAATTAATTGCTAATTCAGTCAATTCATCTAATTACTGGTGCAGATCAATTGTTAGGTTATAACAACCAATATTCTATTTGAAATTAATTCATTGGGAGCTAACTTGTTACTGGTTACTCGTTTTGACGCTCATTTTGTGAAAAAGATATTTTGACACAAGATGTATATCAAATGCATGTTTTTATTTTTAAACCTTGTTCCTGCTACACATTATTCTGCTGTTAGATATAGGAAAGAGATTTCAACACATCCCATACTTCCGGCTATCTCACTCAAATATGTGCAGTATAAGTACAAACATAAGAACATAAGAACATAAGAATTAGGAGCAGGAGTAGGCCATTCGGCCCTTCGTGCCTGCTCCGTCATTCAATAAGATCATGGCTGATCTTCTCACCTAACTCTGATTACCTGCCCTATCCCCATATCCCCTAATCCCTCTATTTTTCAAGAATCTATCAGTCTCAGCCTTGAAAATGTTCAAGGACTGAGCATCTACAGCCTTCTGGGGTAGTGAATTCCATAAGTTCACTACCCTCTGAGTGAAGAAATGTTTCCTCAACTCTGTTCTAAGAGGCTGACCCTTAATTTTAAGACTGTGACCCCTGGTTATAGATTCTCCTACCAGGGGAAACAGTCCCTCTGGGTCTACTTTATCCAGCCCTTTAAGAATCTTTCAATAAGTTTCAATAAGATCCCCCCTAATTCTTCTGTACTCTAGAGAATATAGCCCTAGTTTATTCAGCCTATCCTCATAGGTCAGTCCCCTCATCCCAGGAACTAACCGAGTGAATCTACGCTGCACCCCCTCTAGGGCAAGTATGTCCTTTTTTAAATAAGGAGACCAAAACTGCACACAATACTCTAGGTGCGGTCTCACCAAAGCCCTATACAGTTGCAGCAAGACTTCCCTACTCTTATATTCTAAACCTTTCGAAATGAACGCTAACATGCCGTTCGCCTTCTTAGTTGCTTGCTGCACCTGCAAACTAACTTTTTGGGACTGGTGTACAAGGACACCCAAATCCCTTTGAATACTAACTCTATCTAACTTCTCCCCTTCCAGAAAATAATCTGTTCTTTTATTCTTGCTACCTAGGTGAATAATTTCACACTTGCTAACATTGAATTCCATCTGCCACCTACTTGCCCACTCCCCTAGCCTATCTATATCTTGTTGCAATCTTTTTGCATCATCCTGAGAGCTTACTCTCCCACCTAGTTTAGTATCATCCGCGAATTTAGACACATTACATTCAATGTCCTCGTCCAGATCATTGATGTAAATGGTAAATAGCTGAGGCCCAAGCACTGATCCTTGTGGCACTCCACTAGTTACATCCTGCCAATTCGAGAATGATCCGTTTATCACTACTCTCTGCTTTCTACCCGATAGCCACTCTTCTATCCATGTTAATATTTTCCCATTAATCCCGTGGGCCTTGATCTTGAGTAACAGCCTTTTGTGTGGCACCTTGTCAAATGCCTTCCTAAAATCCAAATATACCACATCTACTGGTTCCCCCTTATCCAACCTGCTGGATACATCCTCAAAAAATTCTAAAAGGTTAGTCAAGCATGACTTCCCTTTTGTAAAGCCATGTTGACTCTGCCTAATCTTTTTATGGTCTTCCAGGTATCCCATAACTACGTCTTTTATTAAGGACTCAAGAATTTTCCCTACAACTGACGTCAAACTAACTGGTCTATAGTTTTCCCTATTTTCTCTCCCACCCTTCTTAAATAGTGGAGTTACGTTTGCAATCTTCCAATCAATGGGAACTTTTCCAGTATCCACAGACTTTTGGAAGATTATAGACATGCCATCCACTATCTCAGTAGCCACCTCCTTTAAAACTCTCGGATGCAGGCCATCCGGTCCAGGGGATTTATCGGTTTTAAGACCCGACAATTTACCTAGAACCATCTCTTTACTAATGTTAATCTCCCTAAGTTGCTCGCTAACATTGTCTTCTTGGTCCTCTATTTTTGGTATGTTTCCAGTGTCTTCTACGGTGAAGACTGTAGAAAAATACTTGTTTAATGACTCTGCCATGTCTTTGTCCCCTATTATAATTCCTCCGGTCTCTGCCTGTAATGGACCCACATTCACCCTCGCTAGCCTTTTCCTCTTTATATATTTGTAAAAACTCTTGGAGTCTGTTTTTATGTTCTTTGCTAGTTTGCCCTCGTAATCTATTTTCTCCCTCTTGATCAATTTTTTGGTCCTCCTCTGTTGTTCCCTAAAGTTCTCCCAATCCTCGGGTTTACTACTCATCTTCGCTGTTTTATAGGCTTTTTCTTTTGATTTGATACTTTCCCTAACTGCTCTAGTTAGCCATGGCTGCACCACCTTTCCCATGGCATTCTTATTCCTCAAAGGAATATGTGCTCGTTGGGAATTTTGCACTATCTCCTTGAATGTCTGCCATTGCTGGTCTACCGTCAAATCTTTAAGTTTAGTCTCCCAGTTTATTCTGGCTAAATCCTCTCTCATACCAGCAAAGTTGGCTCGATTTAAATTGAAGACTTTTGCTTCAGACTTAACTACTTCCCTCTCTAACTTAACGCTAAATTCCATCATATTATGATCGCTTTGCCCTAGAGGAGCCTTAAGTTCCAGTTTGCTGATCAGCCCTGTTTCATTACACAAAACAAGGTCTAATATGGCTTGTTCCCTGGTCGACTTCTCAGCATATTGATCTAGAAAATTATCTCTAATAC